AGAAAACTAATAACTGAGATGAGCATTACAGATAATTACACTCTGGGAATAAGAAGTGGAGTTAGAGAAGTAGGTGGAAGGGCAAAATGGATAAGAAAGTGTGAATGTACCACACCAGTGGGAAATTTTGCAATGCAAAATTTGCAAAAAAAACCCCAAAGTTTCCCAGATTATGAGAGAGGTATATTCAGCTGTTGGACTTGTGCATTACTTACATGATTATTTTGGCTGAACTCTGCTCTGAAACTCAAGGTACTACTGCATCTGACAAACCTCCACCTCTATCTCTTCTGAGAGTTTCTAGGCAAGAATGGCAGTACCTGGGATTACTGGCACACCAGTACACTGTGGCAAGGAACGAAGCATAATACTCCAGCACAACTACTGAGAAGAGAATCTTGTCCTAGAGGTGACTCTGCCAAGTCAAGGAACCAAACAGCAGATGAACAGCCCAGAAAGGTGCCATCAGAACAGCAGTAAAGCAGTAGAACTACTGTTACAGATGCTGACATTTTAAACAAGATATTACCAATCCAAACCCTCCAGTCAGTCCTAGAAGTAACCAGATATACTCTCTGTGACCTGGAAGAAGTGAAGTTATCTGAAATTATTAATATTAAGCATGAAAGATTCCTTTTCTTCGGTTTTGAGACCACACCACTGCTCTAAAGTGCTTACCTTAAGATGATGCAACTCATGAAGACAGAGAAAAGCTGTAGAAACATTATTTTGGGAATACTAGAAACATGAATTACCGAGCAGTATTTGATCTATTTGTTGTAGTGTTAGGATGGAATTTGATAGTCTTTCAAGAAGTCAGTACCAAGGAGTTATCTGCCCTGGCCAATATGAGCACTGCTCCTCCCTTTACTTTGTTGTGGCCTTGCCCAAGACTCAAGATACTGTTCAAGACCAACAAATACGAATGTTGCAATGTATCAGTCTGAGTACCCTAATATGACATACCAGGGATAACATCTACAAAATGGGAATAGTCTAAGATTGAAGCTTCAAACACTACTTCACTCAAAACTCAGCCAACCTAGAGTGACTCCAGACACGAGGAGAATGAGTGTACAGGAGAAGCAAAGCTGCACAGAAACCACTTCAAGCAAATTAGAGAGATCTTTATAGAATTAGACCATTTGAAATAATGTTTACTCTGATCATTTTAATTCTGTAGCCCAGAATTAAATTGTCTCCTTACAACAGAGTACTGTGTGCTAATTGCACATCAAAGCTAACGTGAAGGACAGAATATGTTCCTTAGTTTGCTTCTTTTTTTCTGCCTCATCCACAAGCAAGTCCATATATATGACTAATATGCTTCTGAAAAATGCATATGTGTGATGGTGTTCTCTCTGATAACATGGGACACGATATCCTTTGATATTTGCATTTTACTGGCCCAGAAAGTAAATGGGGTCAGTAGATGGCACAACAACGCAGGATTAAATTGTGATATTTTAATTGATTTCTCAGCAAACTAAAATGCCATATTGAACTGACTGAAACTTTTGGGTTTGAATCACATAGAATTGAGTAGAATTACGTATTTTTACCATTTTGAAGCACAATGCGTGTACAACCAATGAAATATTCATTACTGCTGTCAAAAGACAGCCTCTGAAACAGAAGGAAACAGAGAAGAACCATAGCAGACCCTACCACTAGGTTGTTTTATGCTCTACTTTGCCTTGAATGTCTTTCCACAGTATCATCCTTAAAAACTTAAAATTCAAGGCGACAATATGACTGCCATTAACTTTTCAAGTTGCACAAAGAAAACAGTGGCTTTTAAAAGTAAACTCTGCACACATTGGAAGGCAAATTGTCTAAGTTTTCTAACTCCAGGATAGCCAGCTCTTATTTAAAAATTCACCTGTTCTTATTTAAAAATTCATCTGTTATAAAGGCCATTTTTAGTTCTGTTTTTCTGTAACACAAAGTTTAGCTACAGCAAATAATTCCTATTGGAACTTCTTTTGAACTTTGAAAGATTTATATTCTTGGCATTCTGGATCAACATTATTAAATAGTCCTTGTTTCATAACAAGGGTCTAATCTTAGCACCCTGTTAATCCTAAATCTCACTTTGTCCAAACAACAGAGCTGTTGTTTCTACACCACAACACAGCTTGCTCCTTGATTTGAATAGCCATTAATATTAAAATTGATATTAGCCTTTTGCAAAAAAATGTATGATCTTTTATTAAAATATACCATTTTGATGAGTGACTTTAAAGTTGAAGTGTATGACAGAAAACAAACACATATTCCAGCAAGGGATAGATGCTGCTGTCCCAAGTAACATTTTCCAGTTACAGCCATTCTGACCACCCAGAATAAAATGAACCTTGAAGCCAGAAAAATTTTAAAACTTAAAATGTGTTCATCAAGCACAAAGAATTCAAGACAACTGAAACAGCTACTGGGAATCTCTTAATCTGGAAATTAATTAGAGAAGAATGGCATTTCTTTCTTACAATTACAAAAGTTAATGTTGTTAATTATAGGAACTGGCAATAAACATTCAAGTAACACTCACAGTTCATTAAATCTTTGGTGATATAAGTATATTTAGCATTTATGTGGTCATTGCCAAGTTTTATCTTATTTTAGTGAGGCCAAGAGTGCAGAGTGATGGTTTACATTTTTAATTATTCATCACATTCAGCTGATGTCCTCAGATTCAGACCCGACCACCATACAAACATCCACTGGCATGTTTCAAACTTGCTCTTATCCCTATTTTGATATTCTTAGCAACTTAAAACCAGAACAAATTCACTGAAGTGCACATTGCTTGAATTTGTTTTAACAGAGTACTTCATTCTGGCCAACTGCTGTGTCACATAAAGCAACAAGGGTCAAAATCAGAAATAATTTTAGTCATCAGTGGAGTAAAAATAGAGCAGTGTCATATTCTTGTAAATTTTCAGAGCCTATTAACTCAAAGATGTTTTTTATAAACTCAGTGCAATTTCATGTTCCTTTCCCACACTCTCCACAATGCCTGTTTTATTGCATCTATAATGGATCTTTTGAACAATAATTTTAAAAACTCACAAAATGTTTCTGTCTCTACATTTCAATGTACACTTCATTTCACTTGCATTTAGTTGCATGTTATGGAGACATACAGCAATGCAAATACTTGGAGTTGACATAGTGACCTGTTTTGCTCTTATCAGCAGCTAAACTTTATTTCTTAAGTACCATTTACCATACAAACCATACTTTTTGCCCATTGTTAAAGTTGTACATCATAATCTTGACTTCCAGAAAATAACAGGAGTTCCATTATTACATAACTAAAAAAAAAAAGAAACCAGGGATGTTTACAAGCAAAAATAAAAAATATATTTTTGTAAAATAATAAACATCAGCCCTCAAAAATAAACCACTGTTTTCCCTATAAAGAGGGATTCCTAAGACATTTCTAGGGTTCACCTGTGCAGATGCAAATGACTGAGAAGACTGTTCACACTACACTGTTAACCTGGAATGTGATTATCATAGCTAAATACCCGCCTAATACACAAAACAACCTTTCCCCCGAGGTTGCTCCTCTCCTACCAGTCAGCTTCTTTACTCATTTGACCATTCTCCACAGCTTTGCAAGTCACATTCCTAAGAGATGTCATGCTTTGGAGTTCCTTTGTGGTTCTTTGATTCTTTTCTTATTCCTCCCCTGTTTGCCATTTAAGGTGGGCATGTTTTGTGCTTCGAGGTAGAAAAATACATAAAAGTACAGTTCACAGGTTTTAAGGAAGTGGAAAGAAGCCAAAGGGAAGATCTGAAAGTTCAGGACTCTCTGAAGTGCATGGCTTGCTTTTCCTCAGACTCCAAATGCAAACCCAAATCTGTTGTGAAAAAAACAAAATCCTGTCAATTCATATTGCAGTCTGACCTGAATACACCCAGGGCTACACAGCAAGTCTTGGGGATTCTCCATTTACTCTCCGGTTGTATACAGGTCTGGTTTCAAAATTGTAGGTGGGGGCATACTTCAGAGATAGATCCTTTGAGAGAGGAAAAATGTCAGAGTCTAAGGGCTGGTTTTAGAAACACTTCTATAAAATAGTTCCATTCATCCTGATGTTAACAGTAAAAGTCCAATGGCAATGAACCCTTCCCTCCTCTTGCCACCCCTCATTAGATCTGATCGTACAGCTCTTGCCATCTTCTTGTAGGAGAGTGACCAAGGTTTTAGATCTTTTCAGCCCTGCAAAGATATATATATATAACCAGCAACACACTGGCTAAGAGGACAGGCATATTCTGAAGGAGGGAGTAACACTTAGAGCTGCAGCTCCACCTTTAGATAGAAATCGGCATTAGAAACACCGGGAACACGAACAGCGGGAAATCACCCGTAGCAGCTGAGCAGCTTGAATATACTCACACCAGAGTTAGGAAAGGATTCCCTTTGCGGCTATGGGATGTATGATGCTGGACAGTCCTTCAAGCAGCTTCCACAGTGTCAGCTGCTGGCATGGCTGTCTGGGTACCCCTGGACCAGGACTGCCCCTCATGCACTCCAGCAGTTTTCCAGTAACATCATTTTCCAGTCTCAGAAGAATACTCACATGGTGTAATATCAAGAGACACCCCTCTTGCTCTCCTAGGCCCTCTCCTCTTTCCTGGTCCACATTTCGGTGCCTTGGTATTTACATCGCACAGAAAACCAGTCAGCCTTGCCTCAGATGTCCCTGCTGCCGCAGAGAGTGAAGCCTGTCCATGCAGAAGTGGTCCAGAGGCTCCAGCGGGGACCTGCTGCCCTTCAGGATACATGGCCAGGCCAGGAGGCACCTTCCCTTCTGAGGGACTTGAGATGCTCATAGCACACCTAACACAGGCTCCAGAGAAATGGAGCCTGGAGGAGGATGCTCAAGTGGAAATGGTGAATATGAAGGAAGGATTTTCCCAGTGGGATGTACTCAGTTATGTGGGAAAGAAAGGAGCTGCAGGGGACAAGGGGCAGGAGTCGGGGGATCTCAGCGAGTGGTGGTGATGCCCAGCAAGTGGGCAGGGACGCGGGCAGCAAGCAGGCAGGCCAGCACAATACCGATGAGCTGCAGCAGTGCCAGCCCCAGGGCAGCGGTGGCGACATAATACATGTTGCTGCCGACGAAGGCGGTCACCCTGCCGAAGCAGCCGTCGCGGTGCAGCCTGCGCGCGTCGGGCGGGCTGCGCTGGCAGCCGCGGCGGGCCCGGCAGCAGCTGAGGGGCACCGAGCCGTTCTGCTCCAGCCCCCAGGGCGAGGCCAGCCAGTCGCGGTAGCTCTCCACACCGCAGCAGGAAAGGGCCCGCTGCAGCGCGTCCAGGGCGTCCGCCACCCCGTCGTCCTCCCCGTACGCCAGCAGAGCCTGGCGCAGCCCCTCCTGGAAGCCCTGCTCCAGGGTCTGGCGGTACAGGAGCGCCGAGAGCCCGGCCGCCAGCCCGGCCGCCAGCACGGCGGCCAGAAAGGCGCTGTAGGCGCGCAGGAGTCCCCGGTGCTCCGTAGCGGCGCCGAAGCATCCCAGGAAGCCCCAGATGATGACAGCGACGCCGGTGGCCAAGAGGATGGCGGGGGCGCTGGGGTAGTCGCTGGCCGACAGCGCCAGGTAACTGCCCAGAGACACCTTGGCCCAGAGGCCGATGATGAGCATGGTCAGCCCCGCTGCCCAGAAGACGAAGCTGAAGGCCATGAGGGACAGCTTCAGCAGGGTCATGGCGCCTCGAGCCCTGCCGTCGTGGGGGGGGCGGTGGCGGTCACGGTGAGGGCCTCCCGCGGCCGTCGGTGCCGCCGGGCGGTGTAGGAGGTGCGGACAGGCCCCGCCGCTTCCCCGAGCAGCCGTCGGAGCGGGCCCGGGCCGAGTGCCGCCGCTCCTCCGCCCCGTCCCCTTTTGAGGGCGCGGCCCGGGGCGGGCCGGCGGCGCTTGGCCGCGCTGCGGGGCTCGGGGGAAACGAGCCGCCCACAGCAGCAGCTGCCGGGCCGCGGAGCCCGGGCTCCACTCCCGCGAAGTGAACGGGTGGGGCTGGCAGCTGCTTCTGCCCGCAGCACTGCGGACCCCGAGCCGAAAACATTTTGTGAGAAGAAAGCTCCATATTAACCTTTAATGGCATATGCTGCAGCCCAGGTGCGAAGGACTAAACTTTTATAAACTTTTACCTTGGGCGAGGAACTAAACTTCCATAAGCACTAGGACGAGTACTTAAACTACACACAGAGAACCCACAGGAAGGATAATGAGAGGTTTTATTTATTTTACTGCATCAAGCTGTGTTATTACGACCGTTTGTAGAAATAAGCATAAATCTGTACCTGAATATTAACTAACTACACATTCAGTCAGTCACTCAGTTTAGTTTTCCCAGCTGGAAATTATTTTCAGTGTGTCCTGACCCTGTTAAATAGTCATTTCATTTGGCCCATGATAAGACTAAGCCTCTGAGAAGGCATTAAACCACAACGAGGTACTGTTATACAATACAACTAGTGGTCCAGGAAGCTCTAAGAAGATATTCCATCATCAATGTAGTCTCATTGCAAAAGAGCAAAAGATAAGCTACTCCTACAATTCAAGTTTAAAAAAAAAAAAAGTAGGAAACTGTAAATGAGACTATCTCAGTCAGAGGTAGAATTAGCATCTCCAGGGGTTTAGTTTGTATGTGCAACAGTCACACCAGAAAAGCAGGTAGGAGTACCCTGTGGTTCACATCTTTATCCAACCCTTTTGGGACTGAATTCTGAGTTTTAACTGTATTACAGTGGTAACATTTTCTTGATTTCTCTCTGTTACAGTTTTAAGGAGGGAAAGGAGGTGCTTTATGTGTCACATTTTAATGCACAGGTTTAATTGCAACCAGGAACTCATACCTGTCAAACCATTAATATAGCATAATCATAACTGAAACATCACTTGTTCTTTATTAGAGGCCTTGACAATTCCATTAGCAGGAGGATGCTATCATTCCTGCATTTTGCAGATTCTCTTTTTTTGCCAGTTTACAAGTTTAAGCTCTTTATCATTTTCTTGAGAGATCACATCTGAGCTAGTTTGATCTGAATCTCAGATCTTCTCTGAGGATTCTCAGATCTTTATGTCAAGATGTTTTAGGAATGATAATGTCCATGTTCTAGAAGTACTCTTCAGTACATTGAATTATATTACTCATTTTAGCACTATATTGCTCATTTAGCACTAAAACATATGACTAATATCCACAGGGAAGAATTAAAGCTCACAGCAAAGACAAACTAGAGGTCTGCAGGTGTGGAATTTCATAATCAAAAGCTAAAAGATGATGATTTTCATGGTTTCACACCTAAATGTACAGTTGGTGTTGAGACTTCTGACAGTCACATTCCTGAAGCTATGCTTCTTTCAAAGCAGTGAGTCTCTGCTGGCCAGGCATCTGTCAGCCATGAAGGGAAGGGTCCTTGCTGTCCTTAGAAAGGGTTGATCACTGCTGTGTTGCACTCTTCCAAGCACTTGCTTTCTCTCTTAGGATTTTGCACTGATTCATAGCAGCATTTTTCCCTTTTGATTCCTTAAACTTCTAGCTAGCTACATCTCAAACATCAGCAGCTGTTTTGCCTTCCTTGTGTTTCATGTCTCTGTGTACTTGCTCACAATGGACCAATCTTTTTCTGAAGTTTCTCAGAGCTATCAGAAATAGCTTGGATCACAAACAGCTGAAACCCACAGAAGGGCTACAATAACTGCGTTAGACAGTGCTAATGAGGGACTACAGACCCTTTTCACAGGTCATAGCTGTGAATGCTCTTTCTGAGCACTGTCTCAGGTTAAACAGGCTTCAACACCAATAAAGGACACCAGTCAGTACGATTTTCTGTTACCCTTGCCCTTCCCTACAGTGAAAGCAGACAGGCAAAATAGCTTTAGAACAGGCTCATACAGGTACTTTCGGAAGCATGGTGCCTGGTAGGAGCAGTCAAAATATAGAGCATATGGGAAGATCTGTTGTCATCCAGGTTGCTCTAACATATACCAGAAATAAAGAATGGTGCTAAAGGTACAGAAATTCAGATCTCCAAAAATACATTTTATGATCTGTCAGGGCAGCTGTGAAGCATTTGACACAAAATAACTATGGGCTTCACAAAATAGCTATTGTTTTCATTGGCAGTTATGTTTTGAACTTCCTCCAAAAATCGTGTCAAACATTCAGTGTTGAAAGGTGCCAGATGATAATAACATTTGTGCTTTTTTAAACCAGGGTGAAATGAGTATAAAGAACCAAATTCTGTCCATTCTCATAATCCATGCTCCTGGAACCATTTGGGTAAGTAGAGGAGGTAGGATTGGACTCCTTGAGCATATATGAAGTCGTAAATGATGAAACAACTTTGGTGTCTGAAAAATAAACTTACTGGAATAGCTTGATTTTTCAGACATAGGCCAAATCATAAATTATGTTTACATCTTAGTAAGAAAACTGTTAAAGAATCTCATTAAATCATACAAGTGAATAAACTACACTTAAATCATACAAGTGAATAAATACATGTGATATGTAGACTGACAATCTGATGAAAGAGAAATTATATTCCATTCTATGTTGTTTTGGAAAGCAAAGTGTTGTGGAAATACCCTAAGAAGGGAGGATTCAGATGTGCCTAACCCACTAAGCCAGAGCAGCAATACCAATTATTAAAGAGTGGTTGCAAACATAGACAGGAATATACACTGAGATTGACCCTAGAAAATGCAAACTAATATATCCTAGAGAAAACTGGTGCTTAGTGACAGCAAGAAGCTGGCTGCCAAACTGTGCATCTGAAGGACATGTGGGTGATGGGAGACACCTAATTAGGCAGCACTTTGCAAAACTATTTGGCAAGGAAAAGCTGTCTGCTTCAAGCATGAATTTTCCTCTTTCCTTACTGTTTTAGTTTGGTAATACCTTAAATGTTATATCTCTTTCCTGAAAGATGCATGGTGATTTAAATTTAAGGTGATCATCTCAACTTTCTGTGATTTTTTTTTTGCCGTTTATACTTGAAATTCTGAAGTGAATATTTCCCATCACTCTGTAACAGAGGGAAGAACAATGTAGGGATTCTTCATGACTTTTCAAGGGAACTGAGCCTATTCGTGATTCTTAGTTCATGACTGTTTTGACTATTTAAGGTATCTCTGGCTAGAAGAATGAGTGACAGCATGGGCACAGAGAGAAAGATCAGGTAGTTAGGAGCTCTACCACAAAAATATGGGTAGCAAGAGTAGCTTAAAAACGTATTGATTTAATGTTCTGAAGTGTATTTTCCTTAGAGACCTGGATGAGATTTTCATGTCATGATTTTCAGAGGGGTACTTTAGCTGCTAAAGTACCTGCATTTATTTACCTTGGGGAAAACTAGAAGTCCTGTGATGCCACTATAGTGTTTTGCTGGTGTTATATTAGTGTACCTCTGATATTGTAACTATTTATTATTGATATATATTATTGGTATAAGGCAATATGCTTAAGAGCTCCTCCCATGGACAAGATGCCTACTGGGTGGCATCCCTGTAAATACAAAACAAAAATGTCTCCTGTAGTAAAGTCTGATATTGCAATGCTTCATCATGTTGAGTCATTTCTTACACCATAAATTCAAGTCCATTGAGTTCAATAGAACTGTTAATAGGAAAAGCAATTTTTCAGTGTAAGATATCTAATTCCAATTGAAATTATTTTTATGTAAAACTGAAAGTTATCTTAATTTTAAATTTAATCAGATGAAACAGAAATCACAGTTCTATAGACTCCCAGGGCTGTGCATCATGGATGTGGTGCAAGTTCAGACTGAATGGGAAAAGATGAACTTGGAGAAAGAGAATTTCCCCTTAATCTTTCCATTCATTCTGGGGAGATGTGTCAACAATTCATAACAGAAATCACTTCCAGTTGCAGGTCCCTTCAGGGAAAATGAATAGATTATGAAACACCACGTATTATTTGCCCCATCACAAATCCTCGGTCCAAGAGGAAATATTGGATAAACTGCTGGTGCTCTATCAGCAGACCAAGGGATGCAGCCTGGGAAGAGAAGAGAGGCATCCAGGTGGGGTTCCTACCAGCTTACATAGCTGAGCAGATGTCTCCATCTGCAGCACCTATGATCACAAGGAAGAACTCAGCCTACTGATCCTTGGAATGTACTAATGTACTTCACCGACAGTACAAGCGCTATTTTTTTTTCACATCAAGTTTATTTTAGGAACTCAGGTGTATAATCTCTGCTATATATCAGTTACTTTTCTATTAATAGCAATGATCAGAGATGCTTTGAATTAATGATTTACTTCTAATGTGTTTTTTAACCTTAAAATAAACACAAAATTTAATTTTAGCTGTACCTTCACCGTAACTAGAGGAAAATATGATCCATGCCTTGAGCAAGTCTCTCAAGAAAAATTTCAATGCACTTTCCAGTTACCCCACAGAAAATTTTTATATGCTGGACATCAGATATATTACAACATTAGTATATCCAAATAGCATGCAGGCTAGGTTGATGGTAACGTGTCAAAATACCATGTCAAAGGAATAAATTTTAAAAAAAAGTAGATCTTTAAACTTTTCTGGGAATAATGGGAGAACAAGAAAAGACTAAACATTGCCAAATTTTACACTTGATTTTAAAATATTTGTACATATTTCTATTAATTCTGTTTCCACTGTATTAGGAGCTGAGGGTGTTAAGAATTTCACATATGGG